CCGCAGGCGGCGCCGCGGGGCGGGCGGCGCTCTGGGCGGTGGCATCCCGTCACCTCTCAGTGGTGCTTCCGGTTGCGCCTGCGCACTGGGTGCCGCCGCGACCTGCCCGCCGCCGGTACGCCAGGTGAGCGGCCGCGGCAGGCCGGGGCCTGGGGCGGGAGGCAGAGACCCCCTTGGTGGGGGCAAGGGGAAGGGGAGAGAGACCCCCCTCGGGGTGGGGGAGGGCGACAGAGTTCTGGGGTGTGTGGGAGGGGAGGCCCCCGTTCAGGAGTGGGGGACAGCGAAGAGAGACCCCCCCGCGTGGGGACACGACGGGCGATTCCCCCCCCCATCCCCCAAGGAGCTGGTTGGGGCATCCCCTCTCTGAGTTTTGGGGTGACAAACTCCCCCCCCCCACACACACTGAGTTTTGGGGTGACCCCCACACTGTTTTGGGGCAATATCCCCTTACGCTGCCTTCTGAGGTGACCCCCCCCTCCACGCTGGGGTTTTGCTCTCCATGCTCTGTCCTCTCCAGCCCTCATGTCCCCCAGAGTTGGGGGTCCCCAGGCCGTGACCCCCCCACACCAGCCCTGGGAGGCAGAGCCAAGGCGGGATACCCAGGGCCTGTCCTGCCTGCTGGGGAGCAGGGGCCTCGTAAGCATCTATTGCCCCCCAGGTGGGTGAAACCCCCCAGGATTCTGCACTGGAGCAACTCCAGGATCCCAAATTCCTGAGCCCCAAACTGCTACTGTGGTGCTACTCAGCCAGGAGCTGTCACCTGGGTGACAAAGACATGTCCTGCCCCACCATTCCTGCATGGCTCAGACCTTCTGTGTGTCCCCAAGTCCCCTGCGTGTCCCCAGGGGCCATCCCGCATCCGTGAGGCTGGATCCCACGTGCTGCGGCTCCTCACACCCCGGTGTCTGTGCGTCTCTTCCAGCCGTGTCCCACACGTGTGTCCCTCCGTCCCTCGCCATGTACGCCTGTGCAAAGTTCGTCTCCGCTCCTGCGCTAGTGAGTAGTGACAAGCCTCTCCTTCGCCCTCAATGTCCTCTCCGCGGGATAAGGGTGTGCAGGGGGTAATGTGTGCCCCCCTCGGGGACAGGAGGAGAGGTTTGGGGACACTTTTGCACATTTAGAGCCACCCTGGACTGCACTGAAGGCAACTGGAGCACTGAGCGCTCAGCCGCTCTGCTTAAAGATTGTTTGCCTTCCCTCGGTAGTTACTAATTACCCACGTGGAGGTGGATATGGTGCCAGGAGTAAAGCGCCTTTGGCTGGGTGCTGGCTCTGGCGGCATGCAGGATCCATACGCTGATTCCTCTGGCCTTGGGTGCCTGTGGCAGGGCCATGGGGTGCCCAGGAGCTCCTCTTTGCTGCCGGGTGCCAGGACAGGCTCTCCCGTCTGGGTGCTGCTGGCTCACAGGGCACCCTGAGGGGCTGAGCAGGTTTGGGGAGTAGCAGAGGTGGCAGCGGTGGCCTCAGGCGACCCCCAGGTGGAGTTTTGCTGCCTTGAGGAAGCGCGGGGTAGGGCTTCCCACCCAAATCTGAGGGTGCTGTGCCTTGTAGGTGAGGAGGAGCTCACGGGTGCTGTGCCAACCCCTCTCTGCCTCCGTCCTGAGCAGACCTGAGGCCCAGACAGAGCAGGTAACGTGCCCACGTTGGACTGCGGGACACGGGAGGGGGGGCAGGGGGTGCTGAGCACCAGCCCTGGGAGGGGCACAGGGAAGCAACTGTGCCCCCTGTCCACTCTGGGGCTCCCCAAGAGGCTGCAGGGAGCTCGATGGCAGGAAACTGAGGCCCCTGGGGGGGCTGGGCTGAGCTTCCCCCCTCTTGCCCACCCTCCTGTCCCCCCAGGCGCAGCCGAGCGCCCACCGGGCCATCCAGACGAGCGCGGCCCACCGGGACATTGACACTGCTGCCAAGTTCATCGGCGCCGGCGCTGCCACCGTGGGGGTGGCCGGTTCTGGTGCCGGCATCGGCACTGTCTTCGGCAGCCTCATCATCGGCTATGCCAGGTCGGGGGGGGACGACACCAGGGGGGTGGAAATGGGGGGGTTGGGGGCCGGCTGTGCCCCCCGCTGACCAGCCTCTCGTCTCCCCGCAGGAACCCCTCGCTTAAACAGCAGCTTTTCTCCTACGCCATCTTGGGCTTTGCCCTCTCCGAGGCCATGGGGCTCTTCTGCCTCATGGTGGCCTTCCTCATCCTCTTCGCCATGTGACAGAGACGGTGATGGTGACCAAGAACCGGCACCCCTCCGTGCCCGGTCCCATGCCCAGCCGTGAATGCCGGCTGGGGGGTAGGCGAGAGCTCCGGCCCTGCCATGGGCAGGAAGCGAATAAAGACGGTTTGATAACGGGCTCTCGGCTCCTCGTGTCTCCTTGGTGGCCCTGTCCTGTGTCACTTGCCCGCGGCACGGTGCAGCATCGGACCACACTACCCTGGCCTCGCTTTCTCCCTCCCCCTTGGGGAGGTGGCAGTGTCCCCAGACGTGACACCAAGTGCCTGGAGCTGAGTCCTGCTGCCACCCTGAGCCTTCAGCCACGTCCCCGAGGGGACATGGACATCACCGATCCCCGGGGACAGCCAGGAGCCCTCGGGTCACCTTCCATCTATCCCTGCCAGGGGACATCACCCCCTTAGGAACACCGCAACAGCGACCAGCTGCCTGGCAGCCCCAGGAGCTGGGGTCTGGGCTGTCCCTGGGTGTTGGGGTGCTGGTATCAGGGGTGTCCCGTTATCGGGGTGTATGGAGGCCCCCCCC